GGAATTATGCACTTAGTGTGCTTGTGACCGATATTCGGTATATTATTGAAATGAGCAATCTAGCTCGGTGCGTATCTCCTTATGCGAGTTTTATGGGTGAATCGGGTGGCATGCCGCCATGGTTATATTGTTCGGATCGGGTTGCGCGCCATAACAGTGTGAAGCTGAGTACAGATCCCCATATCTGTTTTTATGTGTTTTGTTTCCTATTTTATGAGGAAAGCTTATATTAGCTGTGTGCCCGCGTCGCATGTATGATTCGCGAGCGGGGTGTTTGTTAATTAAGTCCACCGTGTCGCATGTATGATTCTCGAGCGGTGTAGTTGAGTTTCCTTCTCAAAGTTTGCTTTCCTTTATATCGCGTTCGATATGGTAGCCTATTGGCACATTGTGGCATCATATGAGACTTTTGGTCATGTCGGGGTGGCTTATTGCCTGAGCAGTTCGTACTGGGTGAGACGAGATTGTTGGATTTAGGATCAGTGCAATCTGATTACGTGAAATATATTAAGGAGCAAAGATCATTATTTGGTTCGGAATGAGGTAATGTTTCTTGTCAGAAGTATAGACTCAATGATTGGTTGACTCGGCAGTTGATATGAATTTCTGCACATCTCTTCCGTTGTGGCGGCATTGTAAGAGTTACAGTAAGACCTGTGTATGTCATGGGGTGCAATGGGAGCATCAGATTCGTGGAATTTTGTCTAAGTTGATCAGAAAATGTTATTGTGGTCCGGTGAGTGAAGTGATGCTAGGTGTGAATTCAGCAAAGTTATGCAGCCATGTTTGGGTACAGCGTATAGTGATTTATATGGTGATCTTATGTTGGAAAGAGGTCGGGCATAGAATTCCGGATGTTGGAATTGCGCTCTAAGACTTATTTGCTTGAATAAAAGGGAATATCTTTAGAATTGATCGAGCTGATGTGCTCAACTGAGTTGTGGTAGCACGGGAAGGTGCATGAGAAGTTAAACAGTGAGTTCAGACTACTTCAGTGTAGTTCTCAGCACGTTCGAGGACGAACGTATGTTTAAGTGGGAGAGAATGTAACGACCCGACCGGTCGTTTTGAGCCCTAGCGCGTCGTTCAGCAGTCTGAGGCCATGAGCAGCTTCATTTCAGGTATTATGACTTGTAGGCGTGGTCAGAATTAAATTCCGTGAAGTTCGGAGTTGATTTGGAAAGAGAATTTTCATTTCGGAAGCTTAAAGTTGAAAGAATTAACTAAGATTGAATTTTTGAGTAAACGACCTCGGAATCGGGATCTGAAGGTTCCAGCAGGTTCGTATGATAATTTCGGACTTGGGCGTATGCCCGGTTCGGGTTTTGGATAACCCGGGAGCGTTCTGGCGCCTATTGTAGAAGTTAACATTTTTGAAAAAATTTTATAAGTTTGGCTTGAAGTGTATTTCAGTGTTATCGATGTCTGTTTGGGATTTCGAGTCTGTGAATAGCTCCGAATGGTGATTCTGAAGTTGGGAGCGCGATCGGAAGTGAATTCGGAGGTCCGTAGGTCATTTTGGAGTCACTTGGCTAAAGATAGAAATTTGAAGGTTTTTGAGAAGTTTGACCGGAAGTGGACTTTTTGATATCGGGGTCGGAATCCGATTCTGGAAGTTGCAGTAGGTCCGTAATGTCGAATATGACTTGTGTGCAAGATTTGAAGTCAATCGGACGTGATTTGATAGGTTTAAACATCGAAAGTAGAAGTTGGAAAGTTCAAAGTTCATAAAGCTTGAATCGAGGTGTAATTCATGGTTTTAGCGCTGTTTGATATGATTTGAGGCCTCGAGCAAGTCCGTAATGTGTTTTGGGGTTGGTTGGTAGGTTTGGTTGAGGTCCCGGGGGCCTCGGGTGGATTCCGGGTGGTTAACGGATCGAATTTGGGGTAAAAGCTGCTGCTGTTTTGCTGGTATCTGGTTTCCTTCTTCGCGAACACGAAGGGAGTCCCGCGTTCGCGAAGAGGAAGATGGAAGGCTGCTGGTTTTAGCCTTCATGAACGCGAGGTGGAGGACGCGACGCGAAGGAGTCGAGCTGGTTACTACGCGAACGCGAGGAGGAGATCGCGAATGCGTAGAAGGAAAAGTTGGGCCTGAGTCAGTGGTCTACGCGAATGCGAGGCCTAGAACGCGAACGCGTAGGGTTCGGGGAGCTGGCCTTTGCGAACACGGACTTTGGGTCGCGAACGCGATGAAGAGTTTTTGGGGCTGTAGCAGGTTGTGCTTCGCGAACGCGAGGGCTTTTCCGCGTTCGCGAAGAAGGGCAGTGCTGGGCAGTGACTTGTTTTAAGACGGGATTTGGCCTATTTCTTTCATTTTTCTCTTGGCTTGGGCGATTCTTGGAGGATTTCAAGAGGGGGTTTCGTCACTCAATGGCAAGGTAAGTTATCCCCACTTATTAGAAGTTAAATACATCGATAATATATGGATTTTAACATGGAAATGAGTGGAAATTTAAGGTTTTGAGGAAGACCTAGAAATTTGATATTTTTGAATTTTGACCATGATTTTGGATATGAAATTGAGAGAAAATTATATATTTGAGTTCGTGAGGTCATGGGTAATCTTTATCTTCGAAGAATTTCGGATTCCGGGCACGTGGGCCCGAGGGCATTTTTGTCAACTTTTCGATCGGGGGTTAGGAATTGTTAGAAATTGGATTATAATGAGTACCTTAGCATATATTAATGGATTTACATAATCATTGGCTAGTTTTGGAGCGTTGTGCATCGATTCGAGTCTTCGGAAGGGCGTGGAATGCCGGTTATGGACTTTCGGAGCGAGGTGAGTCTCCTTTCTAACCTTGTGAGGGGAAAATGTCCCCATAGGTGAATTAAATGGTTATGTGGTCCTAATTGTGGGGGCTACGTACGCACGAGGTGACGAGAGTCCGTGCGTAGCTACTATTATGCTATTGTCCGGGTAGTTAGGACCCAAAAGCATGTTATACTTGAATTATTTGCGAATCCATCGATAGCTTGAATTGCTTAAATCACATTAAATTAGTAAATGAATTTCAAAAAGAATTAAACCTCATTTCTTAAAATTTTTTAAAGGAAAATTGGTTTTATTCGGATAATTATTCCCCGATGAAATCCTAATTGGCTACCTGAGCATGTATATTATGTGTACCTGCGTCGCATGGATGATTCGCGAGCGGGGTGATTGTTTATTTTATGTTGACCGCGTCGCATGGATGATTCGCGAGCGGAGTAATAGATGCATCTATGGTTCGTGCCGTTCGACCCTCGGCAGTGCACAGTTTACATTTCTATTGGATCGGGCCGTCGCCTCGGTGTGATTTGCGCATGTTATTTGTCACTTGAGAATTTTAAACGTGGAATTGCCCTTCGTGGCCTGATATAGATTGATAAGATAATAAAAAGTAAATTTTTGAAAAATCCTTGTTAATTGTTAAAAGGTGTTTACTCGCTTTACAGCTTGTAAATTAGAACTTGCTATATGAAGTCATGTTTTTCTCACAAATTTAGTGTATTATTATTATTGGACCGCTAGTGAGTGTCCAGGTTGACCATCTCGTCTCTACCCCTTCGAGGTTAGGTGGGATACTTACTGAGTACACGTTGATTACATACTCATACTACACTTCTGTGCATTTTTGTTGCACAGGTATAATTTACATTTGATAGCAGCACAGATGATTTGGGGACTAGGTGAGCTGCATTGTTCGAGGCGACCCGCAGCTAGTGTAGTTCCCTTCCAGTACTTTATTTATTTATTTCCTGTCCACTGTACTTCGGACAGATATTGTATTTTATTTTCCTTATCAGTAGTTGCTCATGCACTTGTGACACCGGGTTCTGGGATGGTTTTCGAAAGATGTGTATTAATAGTTATTTCTTAATTTGAATTGAAACAAAGATTGTTTTATATATGAAAAATGGAAGGAAAACCCTTAGATTTTCAAAGGTATTAAAAGAGGATTTAATTGATAATTTAGTTGGCTTGCCTGACAATGGTGTCTGGCGCCATCGCGACCCGTAGTGGATTTGGGTCGTGACATTGTTACCTCCATAATAGTATTAAGAAGGGTGTGTTGGAGATGTGTATTCGTTTGGGCTGTAAAACATGCTTGGCCCTGTGAAATCCTGATTGAAGGGGCTTGTTGGTCTCTCAAATGGCTTGTTCATTCCATTCGCCATGGTGCTAGGTTCAACAGGTGCATATTGAACAGATGAAACCTTTTCATCAAGAAAGAGGGATTGACAGTAAAGGGAGTTAATTTTCAACTCAATCAAGACATCCTATGTTGTCAAACATGAGTGAAAAAATACAGTAAAGATGCCAAAATTTTCATTTAGTGGCATGCATTGGAAAGTCGAAATTAATCTCAAGATTTAAAGCAACAACCAGTACCTGCTTTGATGAGTCACGAGCTTGAAGGGACTTATTCTCGGAATCCAAATGCAAGTCCTGTAGCAAATCCGCCGTTTCTTAAGCAATGTGAATTAAGGAGACAAAAAAACATGCCATAAAACCAGGGTCCACCAGACATCTTATTTAAGCAGCTCATCCATTTAGAGTTTTATGGGAACCCTCCACAAACTCCATGTTCACCTTCGAATCCTGACAATGGAGCTTCTAGTAATATAAAAGGCATAAGCAGATACCACCTAGAATCTTCTCGTGCATCTCTTAACCTCTTTCCATATGGTACTCCCTAGACATAGGTAAACAGAATAAATCAAAAATCTTAAATAATTCTCAATGGATTTTAAGCAGTGAAAATCCTATCTGGATTGGAGAACATGATGAGAAATTTGGTTACCTTAAAAATAGAAAAAATAATCACGAATTAAATAGAAGAAGATCTGATCTAAAACCCAATTGGTGAAATGTCTTCCCAGACGGTGAAAGAGAGATGAAGAAGCTAAAGAGAAAGGAAAATGAAGAATAATTCTAGAACCAGATAAAAACCAAATAGACGCGGCTGTTCTATTGCCACTGGAAGGCACGTATAAGTATAGAGTCAACAATACCCTCAACTATAAATTTAATGACACTAAGTTCACACGTCGAAACTCTAGCTCAATATTCTATCGATAATGATAGAATTAAGCCAGCGATACCAAACCTTAGATGCAATTAGATGAACCAAAAATCCACTGATAGTGTACCCAATCAGTTGCCCGATTGAAGAACTCACTCCACACAAGCTTTGCATGTCACTGGCAAGAGAAGGATGGCTTATACTGTTCTCTGTGACACATGCATCAATGGTAACATCTGCTACTGCCTGCGCAGCACTACCACCTATCAGGCACAACAAAGCAGATGCAAGTCGTAAGTTGTGGCCGAATAAAACAGATTGAGCATGGCAAAAGCACCAACAAACCTAAAGAAAAAAGGGAGGCAAGACAAAAGAATTCTCTTCTGTCTGTTATTTGACAACTCGACATCTGAAATTGGATAAAGTAAATTCTTTAAAGCAACTACAAAGCAGCAAGCTATTTCTACATTCTAGAAAAGATAATTAATTAGTCACTCAAAAATGACTCAATACCAAACTAATGAGGGTCAATGATATGAATGCTCTATATCCATTCCAGTCTATATAGGATTTTTTTGTTTCAATACCATATAATATGTCTTTTCTATAGTACAAATACACCAAGAAATGCAATCTCATTTTTAGCAGAAGCACAACAACTTATAGAAATGTATATTTGCGATGATCACAATGAGCAATCAAATATTTTAGAATTCAAAACAGCCATAAGCTGGTTTACAAAATAATGACAACAAATATCATCTTGCTCAGCCTTTCGAATTTCCCTCTATGTCTATATGTGCATATCCAAAAGAAGCTACAATGAAAAGGTAAATCAGAGACGATGCAGTTGGATAATACCATACATATTCTTCCATCTCACAGTGACATCATCTTATTCTTACTAATGCATTGGTTCTAGACGTAGACCAGCTACTGTAGAATTAAGTATATAGCTTACATCCAGTATAAATAAGTCGAACTCTTGACACAATACCTTAATTGCAGAACCAAGAACAACATGAAGAAATAGAAAATATTAGAATCAAACTAGGTTGAATCCACAATCACTGAACAAAGTAGCATGTCCTTGTTAAAAAATAACTGATATTTCCTGCCATAAGTGGACCAGAACAATAGTTAGCGTGTGCTTTAAACTTATAATAGCATATTTAACCATAAATTTGTGGTATAAATTTAGTAATATAGAGCAAACATTACCAATTGATCTTTGTTGTATCAAGCCATAAACAGTCACAAGAGCCATTACTAATGAATGATCAACATCAGGTTCCACCACCAAACTTAACACATCATCTCCAAATTGAACTGCACAAGATGATTTTTTTTGTTTTACCTGCATAAACCCAATTACTGATTTTGTTAAAATCAAATTCGTGGTAAAATAAGTGGATCAATCATATCTGATCAAATAAGATCTTATAAGTAGTAATATAAATCTATGATCGTGAACTTTCATTACTGACCTTGTTTCGGAGCTCGAGGTAAGTAGAAGTCCGCTGTTAATCTCATCGCCTATTTGACCAAAAAGGAAAAAAAAATAGATGTGAGTACTGCTAAGCGTATAAAAAATGCAACAAAATGTAGGTTAGTAAAAGGACAAAATAAAACAGAAAAATTATTGTATTTTGGGGTAGCAGAAGACTTACAAGGACGCTCTTTGGATGATTTCGTCATAAACAATATTATATGTAGAATGGTCATCACGGTTGGCTAGCGTGGACGGTCGGACCAGCACTTTGACGCAATTTGAACTTTTTGCTCTCGATAAGGCAACATAAAGTTGACCGTGTGAAAAAACAGGTTCTCGCAAATATATTCCGACGAAATCCAGAGTTTGACCTTGCGCCTTATTTATAGTCATAGCATAGCATAATCTTACTGGGAACTGTGTTCTTTTAAATTGAACTGGTAATCTTTCGTCTTGTGAAGATAATAATGGTATTCTTGGGATAAATACGTGCTTATTTTTAAAATCGCCTGTCGCGATCTTAGCACTGATAACATGTGTCTTAATATCGCATCATATCAACCGTGTACCATTGCATAAACCTTCATACGGATTCAAATTGCGCAGCAATATGATGGGCCAGTTCTCTTTCAAAGTTAATTTGTAAGGAGGTAAACCAGCAGGATTCAAAGTGTGTAATAGGTCTTCAAATTGTCTTTGATCATTAGGCTCAACGGTTTCGTCAATACCAACAAATGTAGTAGCTTTTTCTGGAAATTTTGCTATAAGAATATCGTTGGTTTCATTTACAAAATCATTCTTCGTCGCTAGAACAACGCGAGAATCTGCAAGAAAAGAATTAGAGGAGGAAGTGTGTGCATTTGAGAATGTCATAGCGAATAAATGGTTTAGAGATTCTTCTTCAGTTGTAAAAGGAATAATCATAGAATGTGGAAGTTGAATTTTGTTATTAAAGTTTACCCTCTCTTGTCCATTTCCAATTCTTATCAAGTAATCACAAAAAGCAGGATCTGTTTTTGCCCTCATATTTTCAGATAATTGCAATTTTTCAAGTTCGTCCCAAATGGTAGAATATAGTAAACTTTCACTAATAAAATCTTCTTTATTCACGTTTCGAACAACTGGAAGAGTTTGTCTAAAGTCACCTCCAAAAACAACAACTTTTCCTCCAAATAGAATATTTGTATCCATAAGATCTTTTAAGAGCAAGTCAAAAACATCAAGCATTCTTTTTTTTTAGCCATAGATACTTCATCCCATACAATTAAGCATCACGAATTAGACTTGCAGTTGAGCTTTGTTTGCTAATGTTACAGCTGAAATTTTCATCAATGTCTATAGGTATTTTGAAACGTGAATGTGCAGTTCGCCCACCTGGAAGAATTGAAGCAGCAACGCCAGAAGTAGCAGTTGCTAGAGCTATGTACCCTTTACTACGTATAGTCGCTAATAAAGCACGATATAAGAAAGTTTTTTCAGTCCCTCCTGGACCATCGATAAAAAAAGCTCCTGGTTTCTTGGAAAATACTCGGTCAATAACCACATTGTATGCTTTCAATTGTTTTGTGTTCAGTTTTTTTTGTAACAGTATATCCTCTTCACTAACGCTGATGGTTCTTTCAAAGAATACCTCCTTCGCTTCTTTTTCCAGTATAGATAGTTGAACTTTTTCTGGGATAAGCTCATATTCATTTATATTATGACCCATAGAGTGTAAAATATCATTGATCTGATTTAAAACTTGATATTGGATATCCTTTCTTTCAACATTAGGTAACACTTTGTAATCTTCTGACATTGACTCTTTAAATTGTTTCCATATTTCTTTTGGATTGGCTGGATTACAATACACTAATAATGTAACAAATAAACTCCTTAAACTATATGGCATTTGGTAACTTGCTGCCTCTGCCATGCAATCAATTAAACTGTTATCACAGTGTAACAGTCCCCTTTTTTCTGCGGATTCTCTAAAAGTATTATAACGTTCCCCATTTATAGTTTGAAGATCTGCATATGATTTCGGTCCTCTCACATTTAACAACAGTAGTCTGAGATAATATCGTTCTCCTTCAGTTGGGTGACATGTTACGATACGACCAACGGCACCACGTTGTTGTCGCAGTGTCCATGTTTTGTCTGTTGTTGACCATACAAAGTGTTCAGGAAATTCTTTGTATAATAAGTTAAGCTTTATGGCATCTTTGTTAGTTCTGTTCATCTAAAAAATTCTGTCAACATTGTTTTCTTAATCATTGGATTATTAATGATTGAGCTAATATGTGTATTGCCTTTAAAAGAAACAAGTTGTTGCCCATTAAGATGTAATTGAAGATGATAAACGCTTGGATACATCTCACTAATAGAGAAACCAAATAAACGCCAAGCAGCTTCAGGTGGTGATACCCATCTAGTAGATTGATACTCCTTTATTTCATCTATTTCTTTGTTTGTATCATTATCATGTACGTAAACTGCAATTTTGTCATGTCCTTTACAAATATATTTGTAAAGATATTTAACAACCTTTATGTCAGAGCAAACCTCAACGTTCATATGACAGTTGAATTTACCGAGTAAAAAAGGATTGTATGGAACAACCCAAGAGTTATCTAAATACTGCTCTCGTACTTTCACAACTTCTCCTGTGTTTCGTCTTTTATAGATGGGGTAAGAATCACTTCCTTTTGATGTTTGTTCAACAAATTTTGTTGGATAATTAAACTTACAAAGCCCATTTTTTTTCATACATGAATTTGTCGGATTCAGATTACCGCATGGACCGTGCATCATATGTTTGAGAACAATCGACGTAATTTTTTATCCAAATTAGCATCTGGTAATCCAGCACTAATAATTCCATCATAAGCCTCCAATGTCAATAACTTATATTCGTTAGCTAATATTATAAGGAAATGAGCATGTGGTAAACCTCGTTTTTGGAATTCAATAGTATACATATAAGCAACAACTTTTCCAAAGATATTTCTCTTGCTTATATCTGTTTTCAGTTCTTCAACTTTAGCTCTGAATACTCGACTAATTAAATTAGGTCTATTTTGCGCTTCATAAATTGTCCACAAATGTTCTTTTATTTCCGCCCAAGTCGGATTACAAGTCATAGTTATAAACAAATCTGGTTTGCCGAAACGTTGTACTAATGCAATAGCATCCACATATCGTTGTCGCATATCTCTAGGTCCACATATAAAAGAAGCTGAAAGGAACTTTTGCTTACCAATGTTAGAAGAATCTCGTTCTCCAAGTCTTAAAATATCTAGAAGTCCTTGCAATATATCCATTCTAAATAAATCTTGATTGAACGAAGCAAAATCCAGTCTTTGGGTTTCAATTTTTATATATTGGTCAACTGAATATTGCTGAAATAGCCTACCAGTGTGTAGCAACTCATCCTCGTCATCATTTCTCATTTGAAGTTTATAATAGTAATATTCACGAGCAGAAACTGCATCTCTTTTTTTCTTTCCTTTTTCTAAAGTTTGAGCTTCCATTTGAAGATATGAATCAAGAGAGCAAAGATTTTGTATGCTCGACAACTGTTGACATTCATAACTTCCATGAATATTTTTTTGTTTAGGAATTTTCTTAATACCACAATGCCACCCATTCTGTCCATATTGAAACAACAAAGGATACTGCAAGGGGTCATAACATCCGTAATAATAGTTCACTATTTGTGTGCTATTGCTGTGAGTGTAAATTTGAATATGTGGTGCATGGTTTATACTATTGTCATTGTCCTCAACCCATATTGCAGCAATTTCTGAGGAAGTTGGCAAATTAAATATTCGTTGATCTAAACCAGGATCACATTTCAGTCCAATATGGAAGTTTTGTAGGTCAGGAATATCTATCAAAGATCGGATAAAAAAGGAGTACGGGTTAACTGTCAACATATCCATCAGTTCCCTCACTATAGATTCATTAACTTTGTTAGAGCATGCCATTCTATTTGCTAACTCATTGTTGTTGTCATAAAAGTACAACTGTAGATTTTTTGGTTTTTTTCCTCCGGGATACAAATCATCTATTAGGTGATACATTCATCCTTGAACTTTAAAAGTATAGATACCATAATTCCTTCGCGCTAAGTCTGTATCATAGTTTACACCAAGTGATGTAAATGCAAATGTATTATTATATGTTCTGATGTATGTTCGAAAGTGGTGGGATTTTTCACTATTGTCAAAATATAGATCATGTAGCTTAGTGGGCATTCGATGTGGAATTATCTTAACTGTACCAGTGCCACAACAAAATCCGGGAGATTCATATTCAAATCTTTTCGCAAAGCAAAATTTACAATTTGGAACCTTTTTTAATGGTACATAGTCTGGACGTAATTCAATATTCATAGCAGTTTTGTTATTTCGAGCGCGACCTGCATGTTGTAGAGGTTGTAAGGAGTGAAATAGTAAGCACAAAATGATATTGCCTAAAGATGACACAAATACAAACCTTTAGTTATCATTATCTCAGTTGTATTATTTTGTTCATTAGGTACAGCCGACGTTGAACCTAGCAGATACGTAGTTTTTTAGTCAACATAATGTCTTGTATATTAGTGTAAAATTATGGTAACTTTAGGCAACTTGCCTTTCTCATAAGTGCAAAGAGGATTTCCCTTGTCAAAAGGAGGAAATGATGGAAGCATTGTAACCTTACTCTTTGCATAGTAGGCGTAAGCACAACAGATGTCTATAGTATTAAATTTATGGTAGATATTCATACATACAAGAAAATTATATTTGTTCTAAACAATGAAACAATTGCGTACTGTATAGATTGAGATATAAAATTAGTATACTAACCTGTTTTGGAAGTATAGTAGGAGCCCTTTGTATTAGAAGTACACTGTAAATGTGTTGATGTTGTTGTTATATCAGTCGAGATGATAGAAGTCGCTCTTTCAAAGCGATTACGTTGCGACGCCTGATTTTTGAGTACTTCCTGTAATGATAGTGCACTCTTTTCATTCGCCATCTTAAGTTTATACTGTTCGCGTCGTCTAACATTCCTATCAGGACATTTCTTTTCAGAGCAGGGACGCTTGTTTGTTTGTCCAGAGTCCATCAATATTAAAATTTGTTGCTCCCTAATATTAGTTGGTAGAAGAGTCCTACAATTTTTAAACGTTATAAAATTCATGGTCAGTAAACATACAATAGTGCAGCCATACTAAGAAATATTTCTAATGACTTGTACCAAGAAATTCATTAAAAAAATATTGGCTGAAAGTCAATATTGATTTAATTTCAGAAGGTCAGATGATCTGATCCGGTAGAAATTTTACCAAATCAAAAATACAAATTAGGAACTGCACAAATAGCATTGATCTACGTAATATATACATGGTTAAATGGTCAATTTTAGCAGCTTATTAGATTCTCAAACATAATTTATGTTATATGCAGCTCGTGGTAAGATAAAGCTTTTCTTCAAGTGAATACAGTTGAATGGTCACATTTAAAGTATTTAGCAACGGCATAACCAAATGAACCACTAAATGCAACTTATCTTTCACTTTACGCAAAGTAAAGTGTAACTATTTTCATATCAAAAGGAAAAAAAAAATTAAGAAACCAAAAATTTTAACCACACAACAGTAGCCATATCAAACAGCAAATGTATTATCTTAGGATTATCATAAGAACATAAATGGGAACCACATTACCTTTTGATTCTATTAAGCACATCAATAGGAAGTCCAATAATTGGTCAATTTTACATGAAGAAAATGAAGTGTTTGAACAACTTTTACGTCAGGCCTTAATTTCAAACCAATCCAAAATGTTATGTCACAATGATTTAAGTTAAATGAGCTAAGCTTTTTAGGTTTAATTTCTTTTCTCTCTTTCTTTTCGATTTTAGGTTTAATATTGTTCATCATAAAGCGTAATGAGAAAGCTCTAGATTTAACATTTTCAACTATTTTTTTCCCTTGGTCAAACCAAAACTTTCTTACCCTTCTAAACAGTAGTCAAAAAGAAAATTCATTTCTTGTAAAATAGTGTTTAGCTTTAGAAAGTTCAATGTAGTGAATTCTTGGGAAAACTTAATGCAGTTAGCAAGAATCCAATTTGTCAATGGCAGGCCGACCCAGTTACACAAGTTGGCACATAGGATTTTTTGATTAATGACTGCAACTAAGCTGCTTGATAGTGTAATAGCGTTAACCCCATCAAATTTGAAAGCAATACCCAATTGAATTTCAGTTGATTTTAAAAAAATCCACAGCGATTGCGACATCGATTAATGGAGAAGGAGACCTCCAAATTATTACATAATCACACAGTTTTTCCAATTTACCCAAAATCATAATAAGGGAATAAAAGAAATTAGGGCTTTTAGCATAAGGATAAATTTTGGAGTGTAAGGGTAGAAATTAAGAGGAACAAAGTCAGTGAAAAAGAATGGTACCTAGCAGTAGCGAGAGAGAACCAAATTCACCGCCTAAGAAGAGTGTTGTTTCAGTTCTGCATCCAAACGTTTGTTGCAACTTGCCGTAGTTATCCTACTGAGCGAGTGTTTTAACAGAAGAGATTGAGAGCGAAACACGTGTGCAATATCAGAGACGGTGGAATTTTACTGAGTTGCAAATAACTATCTTTTTAGATTTTTGGTTTTTCATGGGCTGGCATGTGGTGAAAGGGCAGAGAAGCATTTGGGCCAAACAGGCATGTTGATGATACTGACAGGTGAAGAACCCAAGTGTTGCTTCTAATATAAGAGAATATACAATATGGGATAAATAACACAAGTACCCACAAAAATAAAACTATTTATCCTTTACTATTCATTTACTTTTCTACCCATCAAACTAATTATATATCGTCACAGTAAACTGTATACCAAAATGGTATATAGTATATCATTTTGGTATACAGTACAAATTCTTATTCGCCAATTCAACACAATGAATTATAAACTTTGAATTAAATATTATATACCAAATGGTATATAGTATTTATTTTGGTATATAGTTCAAATTAGTCTTTTTCGATAGTTAAACTCAATTTCAAACCAAATTTTAAAATATTACTCCAGAATTTTCATCAAATTGACTCAAACGTTAGCCATAACCTCCAATCAAATATTTCAAACTAGATATTTTGGTTTAAGAAAAAAATTAAAAAACAATATGAAAACTCCGTTGAAAAGTTGAAAAAGAACTCAATAAAAATTTCAAAAAATTCTAAAACAATCAAATTATAATAGTATACTGTTAGATTATATAGTATATTGTAATAGTATACCGTTGGAATAAACTGTATAGCAAAATGGTATATAGTATATCATTTTAGTATACTGTACAAATTCGTTTTTGCCAGTTCAAATGGTATATAGAATGTTATTTTTGGTATACAGTACAAACACGTCTTCTTCGCTAGTTCAACTCAATTTCAACCTAAATATTAAAAATCTACTCCAGAATTTTCACCAAATTGACTCAAACTTTAGCCACAACCTTCAATCAATATTAAAACTAAATAGTATTGCTTAAGAAAAAATAAAAAAAATATGAGAACTCTGTT